ATTGAACCCAGGGCCTTCCCATTGAGCTACATCCCCAGCCCATTTTTAATTTTTTTGTCTTTTTGAGACATGGTCTCGCTATGCAGTTCAGGCTGACTTTGAGCTCACTTTGTAGCCCAGGCTGGCCTCAAACTCGCAACAATCCTCCTGCTTCAGCCTCCCCAGTGCTGGGATTACAGGCGTGTGCCACCGTACCTGGCTATTTTTTATTTTGAAACAGGATCCTGGTAAATCACTAAGTTGCTTTGAGGCAGGGCAAAGAAGTTGCAACCCCAGAGTGCTGAGGTTTCACGTACACCCAGTGCACCCAGCTTGTCAGTGTTTTTTTTTTTTTTTGTACTAGGAATCGGACTTTGGACTTTGTCCTTGCCAGACAGGCGCCTGTGCCGTGGAGCTACATCCCATGCCAGTGAAGTTTTATCGGCCCCTCCATCTGTACTTGTCAGCAGCTGTCTACGCGGTACCACCAGAGACCATCTGTCCAGGCAAGGCTGAAACCTCATCAGAAAGGCTTCAGGCCTTGGCGTGAGGAAGATTTCACCAAGGCCAGGGTGTGTGCCTGGGTCACTGGGTAGCTTGGGATGAACCTCGACCCGGCGTGCCCGCGGCTCACCCAGGATGCCCATGTCGTATCTGCCCTCCTTCTTGTCCATCTCGATGAGGTGATCAAAGGTGTCTGAGAAGTACTGGAACAGCGCGTTCTGCTTGTGGACCTCCAGCCCCAGGATGCGGTTCAGGAACTTGGTGATGGAGCAGTCTGGGGGCGGCAGGGACCCTGTCTCAGGCCATGGCAGGCGGCCCGCTGGCCTCCGCCCGTGCCTGGATCCGTGGGACTCACCCTTCTCCACGTCCAGCCCGCCAGACCGTGACTCCCGCCCACCGATGCCGACCGAGAGCAGGCCCTGCTTCATGTCTGTGAAGAAGGGGCCACTCCTGAGCCCCCGAGCCCCCAGGCCCACCAGAGGCCCTTCCCTCCCCGCCCATCTGCCCTGGCTCTATCTGGCACCAGGGACATCCTTGTGGGAGGGCCCTGATACTGGGCTCTGGGGCCAGGTTTCTGGAAAGGGGTGAGGTGTTTTATTCTGACTTCCAGGAGTAAGACTAGAGTTCTTGGGAATAAGCCCAGACCCCACATGCCTCAGCCAGGAACCCTCCCCAGGGGACCACTGGAGGCCCCCACGCTCAGCTCCCTTTCTGGCCCAACCACAGCCCCACTGTGTACGGGTAGGTGGGAGGTTTGCTTTTCTTTAGTACTGGGGACTGAATGCAGGGCCTTCACATGGAGCCACACCCCCAGCCCTCTTGTTTTTCACTGAGTCTGGGTCTCCCAAAAGTCACTCATTTGCCTAAACTGGGCTTGAACTTCTCCACCCTCCTGCCTCAGCCTCCCAGAAAGCTGGGATTAGATATATACCATCACACCCGGCTATGGAGGAGTCTTTCAACAGGACCCCAATTTACAAACTCAGGTGCCCCGAACTCTAATCTGCTTCTCTGCTGTGCCCCCACGTGCCCCCAGCTCACCCCGGAAGAAGGCGGCATCCCCTCCAGGGTAGCCCCGGGGCAGCGGCACCTTGTTTTCTGTCTGGCTCAGGATGGTGTTGAGGACGCAGCTGAGGGCCCGGGTGCCGTACTGCAGGGCAGGGAGAGTGAGCGGGGGCCCTGCCAGGTGGCAACCTTACACCCCCTGCCCTGACCTCCCCCAGGCACCTTGTTCTCGAAGTTGTATTTGCTGAGGTCCCGGGACTCAGTGGCGCGGCGGTCCCCGTGTGTCAGGGCACCCTGGAAGTGGGGAGGCTGTTGGTGTGCTGCCCAGCCCCGTCCCACAATGGGGGGCCCTCCTGGCCCCCAGCTCACCAGGCTCTCCAGCCGCTTGGCAACAATGGAGGCAAAGCGCCGCTCTCCGGCCAGCTCGGAGATGAGGAAGATGTACTCGGGTGCGGACACCTGGTTGGAGCGGTGTGTGCGTCCTGCGGGGAGAGGGGGCTCAGGACGGCCCAGAGCTGGGAGGCCAGGCAGGTGAGGTGGTGAAACAGTGGTGCTTACCGAACTGCTGGATGGCACGGTCGGCGCTCCAGGGCAGCTCGAGTGTCATGTGCACACGGCGGCGCTGGTTCTGCACGCGACGGTCGGCTTGCAGGGAGACACCCGAGCTGGAGGCCTCAGAGATGATGGCCACGAGCTGCAGGTGGGTGGGCAGGTGTGGTCAGTGGGCGGGGGAGTGGACCCTGCACAGCCAGGCTGCTCCTCCTCACCCTGGCCCGCCTGGTGCTGGGTCCCCAGCCGATATCACAGGTACAAAAGTCACGGGAAGAAGTCAGGCAACCCTGGGCGTCACCTTCTGCTCAGGCACAGGCGCACACACACATGCGCCCATGTCACACACACTTGCAGAGTGTGCTGGGGCCTCCCAGACCCCCAGAGCCTCCGCAACGCATGCTGGGCCCCACCTTCTCGCCGCTCATGAACCGCTGCTTCTCCCTGAGGTTCACGTGGTCAATGGACAGGCCCTGCTCTGCCCGCGACTCGAAGGTCACCGTCCCATCAGGCCTGGACACGACACGGCCTTTCCTGCCCGTCATCTGTGGCAAGAGTCAGATGTCAGCAGGGTGGGAGCCCGAGAGCTGGGCCACATGGGAGGGGGGTGGGATGGGAGGTCAGGGTCTGAGTCCTGCCTCAGGGGAACTTGTATGGGTGAGACCTTGCTTGGGCAGGCTGGGCTGGGAGTCTGGGGGCTCTGGAGGCTGAGGCAGGAAAGTATCCTAAGCCTCCACATCTCTGTTATTAGCTCTTGTCACTCTAGGGCGGGTAGCAGGGGCAGAGGTGACCAGCAGGGGCCGCGAGAGCCAGCAGGTGACCCGTGCTTACCTCCGCTACATGCTCAGGACCCCCGAGCTGGTCAATGAGCTGGTCCAGGGTGTTGACAGGCAGCTCGCGGCCCAGCGCCCGCACCTTGGCCAGCAAGTCCTGCTTCAGCCGCTCCACACGCTCCAAAACAGCCGGGCCATGTAGGCACAGGGGGCCTAGGACGGGGCAGGTAAAAGGTCAGGACTACTGTTCCTCCGTGCTTTCCCTGAGACCATGGGGACTTGAGTTCTGAACCTGCGTCTGCCTCTGATCAGTGGTGTGGCCCTGACATCACCTCTCTGAGCCTCACTTTCCCCAGCTGTAAAGTGGGCATAGCTGAGGACACAGGGTTCCGGTGCCGCCTGATTCCGGTGGGGCGCTCACCCCGGTCATCCATAGGATGCCCGCCAGCCTCCACAATGACCACATCGTCGTCCACCAGGGACTCGGGGGAGGAGTTGAAGTCGCTGTCCAGGCCAGCGTCTGATTCAGTGCTGCTGTCGTCGCTGATGCGGATCACGCCTGTCCCCTCAAATGCCAGCCTGGGTGCCTTGGTCCCACGGCCTCGCAGCCGCCCTGCAAAAATAAGAGTAGCCAGGGTCACCAGGGCAGGGACCACAGCCAGCGGCAGGCAAGAGGGGTGGAGAGCAGAGGCAGCTTTGAAGGGACAGCGAGAGGCCTGCAGGTGCCAAGCTGGGAACGGCTCAGCCCCCTACCTGGGGAGGGGCTCCTAGGGAGACCTGTCCCCACGCCAGGACTGCCAGGCTCCTCCCACACCTTCTCCCTACTGGAGCTGCATCCCCAACCCTTTTGTTTTCATTTTGAGACAATGTTTTGCTAAGTCACTAAACTGCCTGGGCTGAGCTTGAATTTGTGATCATCCCGCCTCAGCCTCCCAGAGTGCTGTGATTGCAGGTGTTGTGTGCCATTGCACCTGACTTCCCCAGAGTCCTGTGTCCATCAGCTGTGAATAGCTATGGCTTCAGGCAGCTTTTGGCCACTTTCTTGGCTTTCTTCTTGGAAAGGCTGTGCCCTAAAGGCCTGGCTGGGGGGGGCAGAAGGCTTGGCTCTGTGTGGCCCCAGGTCAGCTCTTCAGCCCATGAGCCTGCTTATTGTGTCAGTCCAGCCTTGGGGACACCCTCTGGGAGACCCCAGCCCCATCCACACAAAATGAGTTCGGGGCCCACTTTCATCTAAGGAGCGCTGGCCTGTGTGGGGGTGAAGGCCCCTTGCCTGCCTGCCCGGAGGAAGCTGGAGGCTGTGGGTGTGGCTAATGCTGGGACCAGCCGCTTGTCCTTGTGCCCGCTGGGGCAGTCCTGGAGGCCGGGCAGCAGCAGCCTGCCTGGCTGGCATGGAGTAGGCTGAGTCAGGCTGAATCCTTATGGGGTGGGGAATGAGGGTGCAAGGGGCAGCCTGGGGTGCTGTGAAGAAAGCAGAGGGAGCAGCAGGCAGGCGGTGGCAGAGACTTACGCCTCCTCTTACTGCCGGCTCCTCTGTCCCGCTTCCTTTTGGTGGAAGGAAAGTGCTTCTGGATTAGCGACAGGAAGACGCCTCTGGAAGGAGAAGACAGCTTGTGCCCCTGCAGCTGCCCTCAGCTCTCCAGGGCCAGATTGGGCCCAGGGACCCATGGGAGGGGCCTCGGCCACAGGGAGTACAGCTATTTATCCTTGTGGTACTGAGGCTGGAACCCAGGGCCTTTATCCTAAGCTCCATCCCTGGTCTTTTTTTATTTTTTTGAGACAGGGTCTGGCTAAGTCACTAAATTGCTCAGGCTGGGCTCTGATTTGTCATCCTCCTGCCTCAGCCTCCCAGGGTCCTATGATGACAGACATGGGCCACCATGTCTGGCTGGAACAAAGGGGACTGAGACAGGGCCTGGCTGGGGGCTGCCTCCAAGTTCTATATTCTGCCGGCCTTGTGCCCAGCTCTGCCCACACAACTGATGGGCTCCCAGGAATGAGGGCAGCCAGATATGCAGGCCCCCAGGGCTAAGGACGGGGCGTGTAGGGGTGGCCTGGCCCTGAGGGTGCTGGGACCCTCCCTGGAGCTGAGTGAGCCTCGGAAGGGAGTCAGGAGTTGTGGCAGGTCACAATGGCCAGTCCTGAAAAGCCACAGGTGCCTATGGACGCGGTGCTGCCCCACACGGAGTCAGACTCCCCGCAGCCTACTTCTGAGACCGGGGGCACCCAACGTGTCCCGCCTGCACCGCCAGAGCTAGTCACCGCTCACGGCCTCTAGGTCTGCCTTGGCTGCGGGGCTGTGCAGAGCGGGTGGCCCCCACCCTGCGCCCTTCACCCATCCACTGCACAGTCACTCACTCAGCAGCCGAGACGAAGCAGTCGAGGCGCCCCTCGTTCTCGTCCAGCACCTCCCGTGTGCGCGCCTCGCCCGTGGACTGCAGCCCAATGACCACGCACTGTGGAGACGGGTGGTGCAGAGCTGCCTCCAGTGTCCGCATTTCCCGTCCACACTCCATGCTGTGAGCTCACCATCTCCTCAGGTAGGGGACGCGGCCCACTGACGGCTACTTCCTGCTCCTGCCATGGCCTCACTGTCCCTCCCCGTGGAGACCCCGGCTGGCCTGTCTGCCCTGCCCACCACGCTCAGCCCGCGTGAGGCTGTGGAATGGACGTGAGGGTCCCCACTGTGACTGAACCCTGAGGTGTCAATTTCACTGGATTAAGAAGCACCTAGCGGGTCAGTAAAGCAGGCTCTTGGGTATATCCTGGTGGGCCACAGAGGTGAGACCTTGGGTCTTTGTCTGCTTCCCCACTTTTCTGTTTTGTTTTGGTTTTATGAAAGTCTCCCTATGTATCCCAGCCTGGCCTTGAACTCCCAAGTGATCATCTTGCCTCAGCCTCCCAAATGCTGGGCATACAGGCGTGCGCCACCACAGCCAGCGCGGCTCCCTGCCCTCTTCTGTGGCTCTGACCCTCCTGTGCTTCCTGGCCACCTGGAAGTGAGCAGCTCTGCTCTGCCATGCTCTTCCACCCCGATGCCCCGCCCTCGGAGCCTGGAGCACACACTAAACTCCCCTGAGCCTGGAGGGTAGGGATGTGGCCCTGCTCACCTTGTCGCTGGCCAGCTCCTTGCGGGCCAGCTCCACCAGCCGGTGCACCTTGGCGGCAACACACAGGTACTTGAAGAAGCGCTGGTGGGCTGACCAGAACTGGCCCCACAGGGACTTGCGTGACTCCAGGCCAATCCAGTCGGCCGCCTGCTGGAACACGCCCAGGGCCTCGGCCCACTGCAGGAACGAGATGTGATTGAGCCCGGGCCCGGGGGAAGGGGATCTGGGCAGCCAGGCTGTGGGGCAGGAAGAGGTTTCTCAAAGAGCCCAGCAGCAGCAACAAGAATCACAGTGTGGCTGGGTTGGCTTGGGGCACATGTGATGCTCTGGGTTCCATCCTGGGCACTGAACAAATGAGTAAGTAGGAGCCAGTATAAACATGGCCTGCAGGGGCTGGGGATTTAGCTCAGTGGCACCGCGCCTGCCTGGCAAGCACAAGGTCATGAGTTCGATTCCCGGTACCAGAAAAAACCAAAACCAAAAAAAAAGAAAAAAAAAAAACATGGCCTGCAGTGACACTGACACTGAGTACAGCCTCCAGCTCAGGGCCAGGACGTGGGGAGAGTTGCTCGTGAGGCCTGGGAAGGGGGGCAAGGATTTAGGCTGATGCCATGGTGTCAGTCACATGAGAACCTGGGCAGTGGGGGTACAGACTGGAATCCTGCCTGAGACCATGCCAGGACAGTGTGGTTTCTAACTTTTTATTTTTCTGTGATGCTGGGGACTGAACCCAGGGCCTTCACACTGAGCTACACCCTCAGCCCTTTTTATTTTTTGTGTTGAGAAAGGGTGTCACTAAGTCATTCAGTAGTATGGGTTGCGCTTGAACTTGAGATCCTCCTGCCTCAGCCTCTCAAGCGCTGAGATGACAGGTGTGCACCATCATGCCTGACTCTTAACAGTACTTTGACAAACATCTGTGGCATCTTTAGGGCAAAACCCTTGAAGACAACAAGTGTGGTTGCGAGTGACACAGAGGCCTAGGGAACTCCACTGGGGTTCCTGGGGCAGACCTCTTCACCTGTGCCCACAGAGAGGGCCCCAGCTCACCAGCAGTGCTGCCTGGTTGTAAACACGCTCAAAGTCTGGGGGCAGCGGGATCTCCTCGATACGGAAGGTGACTCCGGAGAAGCTGAGCTGGCGTGCAATGTACATGCCGCTGACCTTCATGTCCATGGCCACAATCTCCATGGCGCCCACACCCCTGCAAACGGGTACGGCCTCCTGAGTGCTGGGTTGTCAGCCCCTGGGAACGGGACCCCAGTGTGGGAGACAGGAATGCAGAGCGCAGACAGCACGGGGTTGTGGCCACACGGGAATGTGCTGCTTCAGTGACTCCTGCTGGGTGGGGAAGCGCTCACCTCTTCTCGATGGCGTGTAGAAACTCCTCGAATGTCCGGAAGGGTGTGCCCTCGCCCCAGATGCCCAGGCGGCTCATGTAGATCATGTTCCGAGGCTCAGAGGCACCTGGGCAGCAGGGGTGGAGAGACGCTGTCAGCTCTTCCTGACTCGGCCAGGAGGTGACGGTTGTATGGGGTGCAGAGAATTTAGGTGCAACCTCAGGACTGTGAAGGGGTACGCAAGATGGACAAGCCTGAAGCTCTGGGCAACGTGGCAGGCCGGGGAGCACCTGCCAAGGTTGGCCAAAGCCAGCCGGCAGAGGGCACAACCCTGATGGGGTCTGAACGACTCACTCTGTCTTTGCCCAGGTCCTGAGAAGCAGCAGGCTGCAGACAGCAAAACTGCACATAGCTCATAGGACGCACCTGCTCCAGGCTGTGCCCAGGAAGACATCAGTAATGGATGCTACATATGTGACCCAGGCTACGCCATGGCCATCGGGTAGGCATCACTAATGGATGCTGCACTTGCGGTCCAGCCACCTGCTGCCCTCAGACCAGCTGGGGCCCCTATAAATCCCCACCTGTGGCACTGGCGTAGACCACCCTGGCCAGGGGCAGCTTGTTCTGCAGGTCCAGCACAGCCTTGCCCATCTTGGTCGAGCTGGCATTCTTGGCTTTGTGGCACTCATCAAACACGATCTGGGGTGGGCCAGTTAAGGAACGTTCCAGAAGAAGGGTACTGTTGGTCACTGGAAACTGAAGGTCACGCCTGGGGGAATGTGCCAACTGGGGAGCGACCCATCTCCTACCTGTGACAGGGTCTAGTGCCTTCAGGCAGCATTAAAAACAGCCTTGGGTCTGGGGATGTGGCTCAGTGGTGAGCATCTGCCTGCTATGTCCCAGGTTGGGGTTCATCCCTCGCGCTGCCCAAATACAAAACACAAAAATAGCCTAGATGTGGAACACTCACGCAGAGGAGCACGAATGAGGGGTCCCCACAGCATGGGGGCTGCAGCGAGCTCCACACCCCTACTGCAAGAGTATCAGTTTGTCACAGGATGTCAGCATCGGGGTAGTGGGTAGTGCATGCTCAGCACCTTGATTTCACTTCCTGAAACTACATGGAGACCTACATAATTCCTTTAAAAAACACCAAGGGAAAGAACTGAAGATGTTAATATTTTAAGAAGCGCCTGTGATCCCCTCATTCTCAAAGGCTCAGGCAGGAGGATCACACATTTGAGCCTGGCCTGAGCAACTTAGCTGACTTATAAAGACCCAATCTCAAAATAGAAAATAAAAATAACAAAGGTTGGGGATGTATCTCAGTGACAAGGTCCTGAGTTCAACTGCCACTATGGGGGTGGGGGAAGACAAGGCACAGAGAAGTATATGCGCATCAAAGGCTGAGAAAAACGGCAAAAATAGTTAAAGACTTGAACGGGCTGCCAAGCACACAGGGTCCTGAGTGTAAAGCTGGTATTTTCTCTAAGACTATCACGCCGAGGTGCCATCTGGAGACTGGGATTAGAGGCCTGCAGCACTGCACCTGGGTTAGACCTGCGCTGGAAGGCTCCACGTGCCTTCCTGGGGAGTGACACGCAGAGGCAGCACCCTTCCTCTTATCTGTCCTTTCCCAGGGCTCAGGAACAGCACCCACCTTGGCCCAGTCACGCACTCCTGGGGATGGGGGAGGGGGCAGTGAGGGTATTTACAACGTGGGGCCACCACACAAGTCAAGTCGTGACGCAGTGACAGGGCAGAACCCGAGCCGGGGCCAGACAGCCTGGCGCACCAGGATGGGGCCGGGAACAGCATGTGAGCAAGCACAGGCGCTCGACTGGCCCAGAGCACCCGCCGCCCGCCGCACGGTTGACCCATGTGCCTACGCGTACCTGCATGCAGGCAGGCTGCACGCTGAGGGGCAGGGGGGCGAGACTAGGGGGCAAGGGCACTGTGGCAGGCAGACCTGTTACCCCTGCACCGGCAGTGGCGGGAAAGGTTAGCAGAGGGATTTGGTAACCCCAGCACGCTGGGCAGCTGAGGCAGTGGGATTGCAAGTTGTAGCCCAGAGTGGAGAACTTAAGGAGACTCTGTCTTCATATAAAAAATAAAAAGGACTGGGCATGTAGCTCAGTATGAAAGGCCTAGTACAAAGGCAAAAAACCCACAAAATTTTGTAGATAAGACAGGTTATTTAAAAGTTTTAAGGGGGCTGGGGATTTAGCTCAGCGGCAAAGCGCCTGCCTGGCAAGTGCAAAGTCTTGAGTTCGGTTCCCGGTACTGGAGAAAAACCAAAAAAAAAAAAAAAAGTTTTAAGAAAAAATAAAGAAGGGGCTGGGGATGTAGCTCAGCGGCACAGCACCTGCCTGGCAAATGCAAGGTCGTGAGTTCGATTCCCAGTACAGGAAAAAAACAAAACAAAACAAATTAAATAAAGAAAGAAAGAAGCGCTCTGATCTTTCTGCCATAGCGAAGCGACCCTGTGGGTCTGTGAGCCCAACACCCCCTAGCGTATGCCCTAGGCTGGGAAGCCAATGCTGTCCAGCCTCTGGTGGAGACTGCATGGGTCTCCTGGCACACACAGGGCCCCCAATGTGCACTCAGGTGGGGGACAAGCCACCTTCCTCCCTCTGGGGCACACTGCAGCCATTGCCTCCGCAAACGTCTTTGCAAACGCCATGGCTGAGTCTGTAGTTGCTGTCAGCCTTGCTAGAGGCAGACTAGGAGGGCCAGGGGACAAAGGGAACTTGGGTTGTGCTCCGCCCCGCCTCCCCTCCGAGAATCCAGAAGACCCAGGGCCTCACGAGGATCTTCAAAAGCTCTCAAAGGCTTCCCCTCTTTGTGTGCTGGGCTGCCCCAAGGCCTGGTCCCGCCCACACAATCCTGCCACACCCCAGCCCGGTCTCAAGCTTCTCATCTTTCCGCCATAACGAAGCGACCCGCCAAGCCACGCCCATGCCCACTCCCAGACCCTGCCCTGTCCGCCCAAGACTGGAGGATACGACGCCGTCAAAGGCCTCCCCGCACCACTGGAGGATCTGCCTCAGGCGCGTGCGGTGCTGTCCGCCCGCCTGGCTCTCCCCGATCAGGGCCGAGTAGGTAGCGAAGAGGACGCCCTCTGAGGTAGTGTTGTCGCCGTACTTGATCTGTGGACACAGGGCGGGCGTGGGGCCTCAGTTTCTCCGTGGGGAGAGAACTGGGCGTTACCCGGCTGGCACCCTCCCGCCCACTCACCTTGCTCAGCGCATGCACTGCGATGCTTGGGGCCTCGATGTCCCTTAGGTCGCGCTCCGCGTCGTACTTGAGGTCGTTGGAGACACTGAACCTGGTAGGGGCAGCGGGGTCAGGGGGGCCCTCACCACCCACCCAGCTCCGGATCCCCACCCTGCGCGCAGCTCACCACAGGGCCTTCTTCCTGCCGCGCACGTAGTTCTCCACGATGATGCCGGCCACCGTGCGGCCCTTGCCCACGCCAGCCCCGTCGCCGATAAGGAAGCCCGCGCGCTGACCACTGGGCAGCAGGACCTCGTGTTGCTGAGGCCAGAGGGGACAGTCAGGCCAGGGCTGCCGCTCCCCGGGCCTTGCGGGGACAGGGCATGGATGGGGTTGGGGCAGTCACCTGGCAGGCGTAGGTGATGGCTTCCAGCTGCAAGGCGGACAGGGCTGTGCTGTCCGACGTGGGCAGTGCGAGGGTGTAGGTGATGTCCGGTGGGGGGACGCTGGACAGAGTGCTGGTCTCTACCACGCGGTCTGGATGCTGCTTCCCGATTTTGGCTGCAGGGACAGAGTGCAAGGTCAGGGAGGGAGCGTGGGCAGGGTGGGCAGGGCAGGAAGGTCTCTAGGAAGGGACAGAGTGGACCTTCCCGCTGCTTTTCCTGTGTCTGCAGACCTCAGCTTTGCTGATGGAAGAACCAACCCCAGGGACCCGGGGACTCCATGCTCTCAATGGGTCTTGGATGGGGAGTTGTGGGGGGTGGTGTCATCTGAGTGAGGGGATCTGAGCATCCGCACCAGCCGGGACCACTCACACTTGGAGGGCACGTAGTCAGCGTAAGTCTCAGCGTGGCCCAGCTCCTCTGCCTCTTCCTCCTCCTCGTCCTCCACCTCGTCCTCAGGCTGGCTTTGGGACTGCAAGGCAGCCAAAATCCAGGCGTCAGTCCTGCCCTATGGTGTCCCTCACTGGGGCCTCCCTGGGCCTTTGGTTTCCTCATCTATAAAGTGGGGCACTCCCTGCTTCTGGGTACCCACCCCTCCTAAGCCACAGGGCACACAGGCTGGGGATGGGACCAAGCTGGGGACCAGGCTCACCTGGTAGCTGACAAGAAGGGAGGTGCTGGGCAGGGAGGTCACAGGGTCCTCAAGGCCTGGGAATGGTCCACTGGGCAGGAACAGCTGAGGGGAGGGCAGGACATCAGCCGAGGCGGGGAAGTGCTCCATAATAGTTACTGATTGATTGACTGATTGATTGCAGACAGGGTTTCAGTATATGGTTCAGGCTGGCCTTGAACTCATTACGTAGCCCAGGCTGGCCTCAAACTCAAAGTGATCCTCCTGCCTCAGCCTCCCGAGTGCTGGGATTACAGGCGTGCGCCACCATGCCTGGCCTTCCTTGATAATTCTGACAGATGGCAGTGCCCACCCTCAGGTCCAGCCTGAGCGACTATGGGCAGGACCTGGTGGCTAAGACTGGCCTTGTGCTGGGGCTGCAGAGACATAGGCAACCTGGGGAGGGAGCGGAGAGGGTGCAAGCCAGAGGGACCGGAGACTTGTGGGGCTGGCCTCAGAGCTGGGCCTCTAGCTGTGACCCTAGCCTGTGCTGACACCAGCCTCTCGGCTGTCTGGCCTACCACACGGCACCAGTTAATGTGCTGTCCAGTGGCTGAGGGGCATCCCTGAACTCCCCGTCACCTCACTAGTGTTCTCCACGGTGGCAGGTCCTCTGGGTGGACTGGCCAGAACGGCCTGTCACACTGACCAGAGTGACAGACTGTCCCAGACCCCCATGCATACTGGGGAGATGGGCCGCCCATCCATTTGGGTGAGGGATAGAGGGCAGGGTACACAGAGCTGGCTGTGGGCACTGATGACAGACAGGTTGGCAGGCAGGACGGGCCTGGGCTCTGGAAGGAGCCTGTGTGCCATTGGGGAATAGCGGGGGACAGGGTCCATCCTAGGGCCTGAGAATTGACCAGGCATCCAGAGCTTCTGGATGGGCAAGGACAGGACCTCCACCTGCCAACCCCTGAGCAGTGCGGTCATTAACGTGCAGACCTCGGTGCTGAGGCCAGCCAGGCCAGGATCCATAGTGAGGACACGGGTGTCCGGACCAGGGTCTGTGATTCAAAACATGCACATGCTTGAAACAAATCCTGGGCACAGTGCAGCTCACCTATAATCCCAGCCCTCTGAGAGGCTGAGACAGGAGGATAGAAAATTCAAGCCCAGCCTGGCTTGAGAGATTTAAAGAGACCCTGTCTCAAAAAAAAAGTGGGGGGAGGGTTGCGGTGCAGCTCAGTGCAAAGGCGCTGGGTTCAGTCCTTAGTAACAAACCAAAGCAAACCAGAGAGGGGAGGGTGGCTTCTAACCCCAGCATGCACTTGGAGCCCTATCCAGACTCGAGAGCTCTTCCCAGGAGCTGCCGGAGCTAGAGTGACAGGTACGGCTGAAGACCCCAGCATGTGCCGCGCGATGATGGGTCCCTGGGGGTTCTGTCAAAGTATGACGAACTCTGACTGCTGTTTTTATCAAGGTTAGGAACTTGGTAAAGCATTCTGAAAGAGGTTAGTACGGAAGCCAGGCCCAGGAAGGTTGTAAGTCCAAACTCAAAACTCTTGCTCTTTTTTTTTTTTAAATTAACAAAATCCAAACAGACGCGACAGTTCCTGGAAGGCTGAGTCACGTTCCGGCCAGGCCAGGCCAGGCAGCTTTGGGTGTTGGGTTTCAGATGCCCTCACACTGTCCAGGGCTGACTGGCTGGGCTGTGGGCGGGGCTGGCAGTGCCCCACTGGGACTGGATTCCAAGGCGGACTGGCCTGAGTGGCCCCCAAGAGGGTGCAGAGGTGAGCTCAGTCCCAGTGCTCCAGGTTACCCCCTCACGATGGAACCAACCCCAGCCTTCGTCTGTCACCTCTGCTATCCAGGGTGGTGGACATTGAGAGCCACCCCAGGTACATCCTTATCAGCATGGCGGACACTGCATGCCCTCAACCTGGGGCTCCCCAGATATAGTCCTTACACCCCAATTCTACAAGCTTCTCTGCACAGAGGGCCCTGGAGAGGGCTGGATGGGGTCCCTCTCTCCACACTGCGGAAATTAGATGCCTCAGCCAGGTGGGTGGGAAACACCGGGTCAGCCCTGTTTCAAAAAACCAGACTTCACTGCTGTGAGTTCCAGGCCAGTCCAGACTACATAGTGAGACCCTGTCTCCAATAAACAAAAAAACCCAAGCCAAAAAAAGGCGGGACAGACTGTTATCTGGGGTGGGCATCCTGGGCACTGCAGGGGCTGAGCAGGGTCTCTGGCCTCTACTAGTTCCACACCCGCAGCTCCGCCAACGCTACAGCACGCAGCTCTCCAGACGCTGCCCAGGGCACGGGAGCCAAACAGCCTGGCGTGAGAAGTTGTAAACAAAACTGATTTCCTTGGGGATGGGCGAGCTTGAGAGGGTCTCTCTGTAACACAGGCTGGCCTTGAACTCAAGGGGTCCTTCTACCTCAGCCTCCTGAGTGCTCGGATTGTAGGTGTGCCCACCGCACACGCCTGGCTCTAAAACAGATTTTGATTCTCTGCTAGGTGAACCGACTCCAGGAGAACAGGGCCGCACACCCGTCAGAGGGCGGGGCCGGGGCCAGGGCCAGGGCGGGGCCTTGAGGGCTCTGAGGGGGTGACCCCGTACCCCGGCTGCGCAGGACACACAGGCACAGATGTCTCTAAGCAGCTGTCGCAGTAACTGCTTTGTGGCCTGGGGAGGGTGGCTCCACTCGGGTGCCTGAACACTGACCTTGTCGTGGGTGGACGAAGCGGTGCTCACATCCCAGATTGTGGGCACCTGGCTGAGGCTGTCTGCTGGCAGAAAGTCAGGCGTGTCCACGATATCTGACAGGGAGTCCACCGATGAGGAGAAGATGGAGGTGTTGGAAAGGTCCTCGAAGTAGGAGTCCTGGAAGACAGGCTCTGGTGAGGTGGTGCGCAGACGTGCAGCATGGGGCACAGTGAGCAGCAGAGTCCATCCCCATGCTGGAATATTACTCAGCCAAGAAAAGGAATGAAGCTATGACACTCACCACAGTGTGAAGGGACCTTGAGGACACCATGCTCAGTGAGAGACGCCAGACAGTGGCGATACACAGTGTGGGCTCCATGGACAGGAAACGCCCAGGACAAGCAAATCCAGAGATAGGAAGTGGATTTGTGGGTGCTATGGCTGGGGATGGGATGGGGGTGATGGCTCATGGGGACCTCAAAAACAAGTGATGAAAGTGTTCACAAACTATTGGCTACACAGTCATGAATACACTCAAATCACTGAAATATGTGTTTGAAACAAATGAATTACATGGTATATGAATTACAGACATGTGTCACCAGGCCTGGTTTAAACCTAAGTTTTATTTTATTTTTTGTTTTTTTGAGACAGGGTCTCACTATGTAGTTCAGGCTGGCCTTGAACTCACTATGTAGTCTGGCTGGCCTCAAACACACAGTGATTTGTGTGCAGTAACTGAGAGAAAGTCAGCCTCCTGCCTCAGCCTCCTGAGTGCTGGGATTACACTTGTGTACCACCACACCCAACTAAACCTAGGTTTGTTGTTTGTTTTTTTTTTTAAGCCTAGGTTTTAAAAGATGGCACAGTTACGACTGGGGTGCGGTGAGGTGTCACTGTAGTCTTAACAGGACGAGTCCTTCATCTACATGGCCACCTGCCACCACCTGCACGTCACACAGCTACCCCCCAGAGACCTTTTAGCCCCTACGGGTCTGGAGTGTACGCGCCCTTCCCTGTTTTGCACACATGGACCGAGGCTGGGGCAAGGACCCGTGAGCCTGGACTGGGAGCAGTGCCATTCTCCTCTGTCTGCACCCCTGAGGCCCAGATGAGGGGCAGTGACCCTGACCCTGCACCCCAGAGCATCTCCTGGGCAGGGCTGGGGCCCCAGGGGGTTGGCTGAGTGGCACCCAGCACAGAGCAAACTGCCGCTGGGAGCCCCCAGAACCACCCCCCCTTACAAACCTGGGCAGGGAGTGGCCGGGGCCCTGAGGGGCTGAGGAGTGGACTCCTGACCCATCCGGGGTGGGTGGGACACCTTACGGAGTCCTTTCTAGGACCCAGGTGGCAGAGTGACAGATGGGCTCAGATGGGAGTGCTCTGGGCTCCTTAGCTGGGGACTGGTGTCCCTACACCGAGGTCCCTGGGGACAGGAGCCCTGGCCTCTCCTGCCCTGCAGAGCACCAATCCAGGGCTGGTCCCTGAGACCCAGGGTCCTACTCCTGGGTGGGTCTCAGCTACTGCACAGCTGCCCTGAGACTCCGAGCAGGCCAAGGGACAGCCAGCACTGGCCCACCTGGTCTCTGCAAGTGGTAAGGTGGGGATCAGGCTGTGATCTGCCCAGGGCCTCCTGGGAATGGCAGGACAGGCCTACCAGACCCACAAGTCCTAATCCCACAGGAACCATGGAATACAGGGGTGGCCACCCATGGAGGCTCCTGAGGACTGGGTCAGCCAGCCTGAAGCTCAGGTTTGATGGGTCAGTCTGGTGGGTGCTTGGGAAGCCAAGGGCAGGGCTGCATGTTCTCGGGCCCGGCATGGGCTTGTCATGTGGGAGGAGCAAGTTTTGACAGTCACAACCTCAGCCTAGCAGCGGGGCCTGTCCCCACCCTGCCCCTCAGCTCTGCCAGCCTGGACCTTCCCTGGGCCAGATCCCACCCTGAGGGCTCTGGCAGGAAAGTCCCTGGATAGAACAGGCCTGGTGGTGGAATGGAGAGCAGGCAAGGCGCCCCACACCCTCCTGCATGGCCCAGCCACTCAGCAGGCTGAGGGGCCCATCTCAGGGAAACTGAGCTTCTGAGGGGACACACGCCAGCCACATGGGGGTCTGGCCCCAGGTGGGGGTGGCCCATTACGCCGAAGCCCCTCTTGGACATAGGGAGGGTAGCCCCGCCTCCAGGGGCCCCTCCCTGAACCGATGGTGGCAGAAGCGTGTCCCAGACTCAGCCCTGAGACCTGCCGCTAAGGAGCGCACAGCAGAGGCCCCCCAGGGGGCCCCAGTAAGAGCACGGTTCGGGAAGGGGTCGCCCCTCACAGTGAAGACCCTGCCTGCTCTGCACCAAGCACTGAGGCCAGCAGCGCTGGTGCCAGGTCCTGTGGGGGGTCACAGACCTTGACGGACCCAAGCAGAGGGACCACGACCTCTGCCATCCTCCTCCCGAAGCCTGAGGGACACCATGGACAGCCCCCATGGAGGGGTGTCCAGGCCCCACCCAGCGCTCTCCACAGTGTCAGGGCGGCAGAAATGGAAACTTTCAAGAAATTAGTCTCTGCCCAGGGGAGATGTGACAAGTGACAAGAAGGGAGCAGGGGCGTCAGGGGACTCAGAGGAGAGCATAAAAGGAGCCTCGGCCTCAGAGGCTGCGATGCAGCGGCGCTGGCTCCCGGTGTGAGGTGCTCCCTGAGAACACTGCTCCCTGGAGCAGCTTCTCCGTGCGCCGGCAACTGTTCCGGGGATCAGGTAGAGACCTGCAGAACTAAGCTCTGAACCCGGGGCCTTCGCCCTGACCGAGTCACTTCCTCCCTCCCTTTTATTTTGAGACAAATCTCAGTTGCCCAGGATGAGTTCGAATTTATCATCTTCCTGCCTCATCCTCCCAGAGGCTGGGAGGACAAGTGTGAATCACTGTGCCCAGCGCAGGTCTAGTAAAGACACCCTAGGAGTCCCTGACATCAGTGTGGGCTCTGTGGGCAGCACCACCACAGCACCTCGTGGTCCTGTCCCCACCCAGAGCAGGACGCCTCTCGGCTGCATGAGGCACAGGGGCCCCTCAATTGTCAGGCAGAGACAGGAGGTTCTGTGGACCCCATGAAACCCGCCCCCTGCCTGGCCCCACACACATGGGGAGGTTATGTAGGGGACAAGAGCAGATCCTGCCCCAGTTGAACCCCAAGTGAGAACGCAGGCAACCATCAGCTACCTCCATGCCGACCCCCACTGTCCAGCCCCCCACCACTGAGAGCTCACCTCAGGGCCTGTGCTGTTCCCCACCAGACTGTCTGCTCCCCTGGGAACCCTGGCGTCCCCTCCAAGGCCCCTCTCAGCATCCCGCAGAGACCCAGGAGTGGAGGCAGACGGAAGGGGTTGGCCACATTCAACAGCACTGGGGGCCATGGGCGGCCTGGGGCCCCTCCAGCAGCTACGATCTCCGCAGCATTTCAGCTGATGCTACTGGTCCTGGGCCACGGTGGGCTCCAGTGGAGACACCAGAGCAGGAAGACACACCCCCTCCTGGCCCAGGAAGCTGAGCCCAGAAGAGCCCCACCAGCCAAACAGGTGTTTGGTGCTGTCACTCCAGACAGACCCACGGGAGCCCCAAGGAGGGACGGGGACCTGTCCCTGCCCACCCTGTCAGTCAGGTTCAAACTCACCCCACCCTGGCCCACCAGGGTCTGATTTGAGTCCCACACAGGGCTGGGAGGCACAGGACACCCACCCGGGGCCAGGGCACCCTGGGTTTCTGCAGCTGAGCTGCAGACGGCAGGGCTCAGGGCAGACAGACAACCACACCGGCCCTGCCAGCCCAGCCACAGGCAAGGCGCGTGGGGGCCCCTTCCTCGCACACGCCTGGCCTCCCAGCCATCCCCAGCTGCCAGAGTCCCAAGTCTGCCTCTGCCTCAGAAAATCCCTGCGGATTCCCTTTCACTGCCAAAAAAGAAAGGAAAAAAAAAAAAAAAAAAAAGCAGGGCTGGGAAACCTGAAGCCTGGAAGCTGCTGAGCTCCCTGGCAGCCCTCCTGGTGGCCGGACCTGCCTGCCACTCTCCCTCGTGGTGCGGTGGGGGTCTCCCCTGCCTCGGGTTACCTTGTTGAGAGCCGCAAACTGCAGCCAGAAGCGCAGCTGGGACATGGTAGAGGCGCGCGGGGGCTGCCGCCTGGGTCCCCCTGGAAGAGCCGCCTGGGAACGCGTCCCTCATGACCACGGCTGCGGCGGCGGCAGCATTGGGTCCCGGGCAGAGTGGAGGGGCAGAGGCAGCCGCTCTCAGGCCCGCCGCATTTGCATGTGGGGTTAGTCACGGCCTCGCGCCTACTTCCTCTAAGGCCCGCTGACTTTCAGGAAATGATGCTTGCCTGGTAAGTCAGGGCAATTACTGGCAGGGCGAGGAGAATTACCGTACGGGGCGGAATCCAGCCACAGACGGGCAGGCTGTCAACAACCAGGGCTGCCCGCCCCTAGCCAGGCTCCTCCTGGGGGCACTTGAGTGGGGCCCCAGCCTCAGTTTCCCCAGCCTGCTGAGGCCCTGGGCTCCGTTCCAACCCCCACCCCGGGCGAGGCAGGTGCCAGCTGCAGCTCTGCGGTCTTCAATATGACCGTCACGGCCCTGAGGACACTGAGGCTGACAGCCCCATGGGGGAGACCACTGCCAAGCCCCCAGGGTGCCCTTCCGGGCCTTTATCCCCACAGTGCCCCAACCTGGGCACCTGCTCCCCTGGGGCTGCTGTGACGCTGGGATTATGGCTGGGACAAAGCACCCGTCCCTCCTCCCCCTCCCTCCGCACTAGCCGCAGGTGTCCTGTGCTTCCCAGCCCAGGAGGGCACAGCAAGGCTCACGGCCCTGCAGGAGCCGGAGGCCCCATGGGAAAGTGGTTCTCCTTGGATAGAAGTTAACCGGAAAGGAGGTACAAGCTGGTGCGGTCACCAGGCTGGGACTGAACAGAGGAGACTTCCCTGTGCCTGCGCAGCTGCCATCTGGCCACAGCGCGTCACAGGGCACCAAGTGGCAGGGGTCAGGACACGCGGCCCCGCCCTGCCTCCGCTCCAGAACTGAAGGGAGCCACCCGTGGCAGCCACAAGGAGCTGGGGTGCTGGGGAGGCGCCAGGGCCAGAGGGGTGGGAATCTGCAGGGGCAGGGCCCCTGACCGAACCGGAGACACAGGGCACAGGAGCCCCAGAAGG